CGAATATTTCGACGAATTTCCATTAAACGATGTTGGTTAAAAACATTTTATAATTTCAAAATATTTTATTAGTTTGCGCTGTTTATAGGCACAACATTTTAGAAATATTTTTATTTTTTTTTGCGAAAGTTAAAACATTATAAGTTCCATCTACCTTGTAAAGAAATTTAGTTCTTATACTGTAACGACTACCTTTAGAAGTATAAGCTGATCCACCCAACCTTTTCACTCGGAATCGTTTTTTTTTTTTTTGAGAACAGTAATAGATTAGTTTCAAGTTCGAGAGACCAACACGACAATACGATTCGCCCAACCCTGTATTTCACCCGACCGTGAGGCTTCACCCTTTTTATTCATTTACTTCTATTGTTTCGACGTTCAAATGTACAATACAATTAGTTTTTTAAAAATGATACATTGTTGTTATTTCAATACCAATCGGCTATTCAACGTTAGTCCTGTCGGTAAATCTGCCGACCGGCCGAGGACAGTTCAAGAGACGTCGTTAGCGCCAGCCTGCGAGCACAAAAATAATAAACATCCGCAATACGCACGCGTAGACAATACGCAACGTCATTACATCCGTTTACACTTCATTATCGTTCGTTTTTCCGCCAAAACGCTATAGTTCTTTGGTGAAAAATCTACCGGATACACAGTTAACCGATCGCAGTTTACTTACCAAAATGTTTTTCTATCCGTCCGAAAAAAAAAAAAAAAAAACAACACTTTCTCGGACACCACAGTGAACTCGAAGAAGTGGTAACAAGCGATAAATGACCGCTACTAGGACGCAAGTTTCATATGGCCACGGGTATATATATATAAATGAGCTACAAACTCAGTCTACAGTTTGTAATCTAAATCCTTATTCACCGAATTTCGCTCTCTTAGCCGTTGTTTAATTCGTATTAATGCGTAAACACCGGGAAGTAATATACGTGTATTCCTAAACCGCGCCAAGTAATGGTACACATAGTTTTAATAATACAATTTGGCGGTGGAAAAATATAACTATACTTAAACACTATACGTATACCCAGGTTATACGTATATATCTATTTGATATGTGTGGACAACGTTATTTGTTCGTCCGCAACAATCCAACAGGCTTTTTTTTCCGGACGTACTATTAACGTCGTGCGCCTTTGGCGTTTTATTCGAACGTCAAAAACGTCGGTACGGACCCGAGAGCTGAACCCGAGCGGTTATTGTTATTGTCAGTTCAGTGGAAGTAGGTCGACGGCGGTGTTTGTAAATCATTAAAATTCAGTCGGTCGATCGGACGAAATCCGCGTCGAACGCGCAGAAATCATAAACCGCCGATTGTTTACGCGCGCGGCGGCTTAAGACGCGTTGAAATCACAAAACTCGAGTGGTCCGGGCACGCCAACACCGACACGACGAACGCGGATGGCTCGAAGCCGCCCGCTGAACGACCACTGCAACTCCCGCGCTCCGACGAACGCTTTCGGTCACGGCACAACGGGTGGGTACGCACGACGGATACGATTTTCCAACGGTTTTCCGCCAACAAACGAACCGGCGATCTGTTCGGAACGACCGTTGTTTTTTTTTTTTTTTTATCCACGCGAATCGTTATTATTTCGCCCGGCGCAAACCCCGACAGCGGTGGGCACCCCGTGTCCGTGCGACGGCGGACAGTGGAGAATAAAAAAAAAGAAAAACCCCCGTTCTACGAACACGGGGTAACCGCGATGACCTTGGACGGACACGAATCGTAAACGATTCGGTGACAATCTTTCGCGGGGGGCGCCGGGCGTCACGTACCTTCCCGCCGACCGAAATGCAGATCGGGCGGCACGCGCGCGCCCCTCGGTTCGTTTTGACCAAAAGTATTACGACCTCGAGAGGATCTCGTCGTTTGTTCGGCAACACAAATGTGTACTGAAAACCGCCCAAACACAGCACGGATACCAGTGCCACGGCACTCGAATAGCTGCCGTTGCACCAATGGGGTTTCTTCAGATTAAAATTAATACCAACAGCGTTTGAACTGTTTAAAATTTGCCACTGTTGTGAGAGAAATTGCTTTCTTACGAGAGACTCAAAAACATATTCGGTAATTTAAAATTTTATATAGATTTAAAAAACAACAAACTAAATTCTTGAACCTCCAATAGCCCCTGCCTTGATGAGTGATAGAACCCGCCATCACCGAGCAGCGCTGACCGAAGGAATGGAATGGTGCGGGAGAATCCGATTTAAAACCGTTCGGGAACGACCCGTACCTACACTTAAGGCGGTAGAAACGCTTCGACGGATATCCGAGTTCAAATCTGACATCGCATCGGGTTGATAAATTCACCAAATGGTTTGCGCGAACCAACGTACGTTCAATTGTACAACGAGCCGAAACGCTTGTATCGTTCGATCTAAAATCAATTACCAATCCGTTGCCAATAATTACAGCATAAGGAAAAAATAACGGAAATCAAATTTACACGCAAAGGGTTCAAACATTCAACAGGTCGACGTCAAACATTTTTTTCGGTTCAATATTTCCATAGAACACGACAAATGGTATCATTAGTAAACGCTAAGCGGCGACTCGCCGGCCACTAATTTTTTGCGAGTACCCAAGACTAATTTATACTTCTAGGCAATACTTGTTGAACCTTTTTTTTTTAACGGTTAACATGAATACTGATCTTCTGATAATAGGTGCAATATCCTGTGTCTACAGGCTGTTTGTTTTAGTTTGAGTCAGTGGCGTACATACCCGGGGGGGGGGGGGGGGTCAAACCCTTAAACAAGGCCAAAAAAAAAAAAATAGAAAATTGTTTTATTATTGATGTGTAATATATTCGTAGTTTCATTATTACTCTTTGAACTTAAAATATACAAATATCATAATAATCGACCAATTAAGCGCATAAAATTAATATTTTTGTTTTTTTTTTTTTTTTTTTATTCGATAATTCATACGGTTATTATACGGCGTCCACAATCCAATTTAACGCAATATGTTTCACGTTGATTTGTGCAATTGTGTTTGTTTACGAACTGTTGGACGCATTTTATTAACTCAGTTGTTACGCACTAACTATTCGGAGGCTTTTATGATTTCTATAAAATGTTATATTACAATAACGTTGAACAAGTACGTTAATATTAAGTACAACGGTCTTGAAATAAAAAAATCACAGGGAGGATTCGACACACAAATCCCACTCGCTGGTAATTATGTTCCACAGCGTAACATAAGTGTACGCAACTGCCACACTTCCCTGCTAATTGCAATAAACGAGAAGTTCCTGCGACCTGATCAAATTGAATTGTACTGTACAATACAAATTAATATATCGTAAAATCAAATGTTGAAATGTTTTATCGCGGACAATTGTTGGCATTATTTGAAAATATGAAATCGCAAGTTATTCGGGTGTGCCCAGTGGCGTAGCCAGGATTTTTAAATGGGGGGAGGGCTAACTACTTTTTTTGGATAATTAAGGTAAGAGAGGATATGAGAATTCACCCTTAATCCCCCCCACCATCTACCACCAAGTTTCTAAACGTAATTCAAGCATTTTAGTATAGTTTTAAAAATATTTATTAATATATAATTTATAATAATAATAATAATAATTTTGGTTTCAGTGTTCAGTCACTTGCTCCACTCTGACAGCTGCATTCTCTTAGGCGAATTTCTGGCAAATTCAGTTATTATTTCACTTTCATGGAATTGCTCTTTTTTATTTATATTAGCCATAGCTAACCCATTCAGTCTGTTTTCCGACATGGTGCTTCTTAAAAAAATGTTTAAGCGATTAAGTGCTGAAAACGTTCTTTCCGGAGTGAAAGAAGTAACTGGTAACGTGGCGAATAATTGTAAAAGTATTTTAATGTTAAGTCGAAGATTGGTGCGATGAGAGAGTGAATCAAGAGCAGAATTCGGTTTTGGAATAGTATTTTGACTCCATTGTTGCCTCCATATGAACAGGTCAGCCCTGATTGTAGATGAGGTATCATCATGGAGATCTTGGACATATATTTTAGCAGCTTTTATAATATTTATATCGTCATACATATTTAAATTGGCCGGAATAAGTCCTTTAAGTGGCATAACATCAATAAGCCTTTGATTAAAACGAGCATTGATTCTATTAAATAGTCAAGATACATTATACATATAAACACGGCCCATGGGGGAGGCTATAGCCTCCTTAGACCCCCCTTGGCTACGCCATTGAGTGTGCCTGCTTAAAACAGAAAATTTAAGCGTTTTTTCGTCCAGTATCGACCACTTAATTATTTCGTATCTATAAAACACCGAAGTGCCATTTTCGTTAACAATATTGATTTTAAACTAAACTGTTTAAGTCTAAAGCGTACGTAAGAAAATAATACTATTAGCCGATCATAATTCACTGCGGTACAAAAATAACTTTACTTATAATTTTGAATAATCAAACATGACATATAGTTTTTTATTTATATTTTTTTAATTTACAAATGACAGTTCAAAAAACATGTTACCATTAAGTAAAAAGTAGTTAAAATACGTTTTCTGAACTTGACGATACATTTGCTCATACTATTATTAAAACTACAATTTTCTTTTTCTACAAAATGTGCAACATTGTTAACCAAAAAACGGTTTAACATTTGATTATTAGCAAACATAATATACCTAATTCCATAAAAAATAAAAAAATTTTTTAGTATTATGTTCAGTGTTCTTTAGATACTTTGTTACAAAGTTCTTTGAATACATACTACAAAACCCTTTTAAATAATGTTGGGTTTCATACTTTTAGTATGTTCAAATTATTTTCATTAAATTAACTGCTGTATCTAAACATTGAACTGTAGTCAATTAAATAATTAAATAGTAATAATATTAAATAGAACGATATAGTTACACTACGGTGATGAAACACTTATCCTTATTCCACAATACTGCTATTGAGAGGTTTCATCCATTTCAATATCCATACCTCAAGTAAAACATAATTGATTTTTATTTTCCACACAAGGTGGCTGGCAGCTCTAATCTTGGAGAAGCACTGGTGCAAGCCAATACCAATGGATTCCCAGCTCAACTACTATACAATGTGGCCGGCCTACAGGAAGGTAGATCAGGCAATAATAAAGCTCAACTGGCCGAGGCATTAGAGTCGCCCAAAGTGCAGGAGGCTGCACGAAAAGCGGCTGTCGAATATGCTATCAAGGACTTGCCAGCTGGCCGTGAGAATACAGAAGGTTACTGTTCGTATTCGTGGTTGAGATGGCTACCATTCTTGGACTGTGACGAGCCAAAAGAGGCCAAGGAGTCACGTCAAACAATACAACTGATTAATACCAAAAGGAACTGTGTGCGCTAACAAATAAAACGCTGTGGCTACACATCAAACAGTAGTGTACTAAAACAATATACCAAAATAAAAATCAACACCATAAACAAATGCCATTGTAACGTCCCCACTATTGTTACATCATTGTAGTTCATTCCCAGTGTTTCGCGAAATGAATTCAAAATAAATTGAATAAATAAATATAAAAAGCAATATTTTTAAAAAATATATAAATATATATATTTATTTATTTGTTTGTAAGAAAAAAATCACTGTTATTCTGAATAAAATATTGTGTTTGAGCATAGAACTTTTTTTTATGTAATGTTTTTCTTTTTACATAATTTAAAATAATTAAAATAAGAAACCTCAAACAAATGGCAAGTATTTGTTATAAAACACGGACGGCTTAGTATTATAAAACAAATAAATTAAAATATGAACCAAACTTATTCACAAAATAAATGTTTAAACTTTAAAGTATACTCTTATATAATCTTTATAGAGTGATAATTCCTAATAAACGATCAATGAAGTAATAAAAATTTGGCTGCAACTTGAACAACAATCAGTGACATATGATGATATAAAATTACATTGTATGACATAAAAGATGGACAATAAATACTAAATTCATTTATTGAGCTAATCCGGCATCTTTTGCCATCAAGTAGAAAACTGATGTTTTTTCTTTTAGTAAATTTGTTGGCGAGTCGTATTCAACCATAAGACCATTATCCAAAACTATTACCCTACGGAAAAAAAATAAATAATTGACTACTATACAACAGTAATGCTTCATATGATCAAATATTGTTTAACCGTACTTGTCAGAATCCATAATGGTGTTTAGACGATGAGCAATTGTCAATACTGTACAGTCTTTGAATTCTGATCGTATAGTTGTTTGTATAAGGTCATCTGTTTCCAAATCGATTGCTGCTGTTGCTTCATCTAACACCAACAGTTTTGTCTTTCTTAACAATGCTCTTGCTAAACATACCAGTTGCCTTTGACCCACACTTAAATACAACAATAAACAAAATAATTAATCACAACTAAGTATTATTATTTAATTACTACCATAAAAAAATAAAAATAATATACCTTAAATTATCTCCTCCTTCAGACACTTCATGGTCCAAACCACCTATTAGTCCTTTGATATGCGTCTTCAAATGTGCTAGTTCTAAAGCATTCCATAACTGTTCATCCGAATTACTATTAGTTGGATCCAAATTCATTCTTATTGTTCCAGAAAATAATACTGGATCCTAACAAAAACCAATTTATCATTTGGTTTTATTTTTATTTTTTTTAATTTGTTCACAATTATTAGTCTTGATAATTAAAGGATTAATATAATAGTTACCTGTGGAATAATTGTGAGACGACTACGCAATGTATGCAATCCAATATTAGATATATCAACGCCATCGACAAAAATTGATCCTTCAGCAGCTTCAACAATACGGAATAAACTAAGAGTCAAGGAAGATTTTCCAGCTCCAGTACGTCCAACAATACCCACCTATTAATTTTTTTCATATTACAATCAATTTAACAAATTAATTAGAAATTGTATTAATAATAATCACCTTGGTACCTCCTTCTACAAATATATCTAGACCTTTCAATGCTAAATCTAATCCTTCACGATAACGCACTTTGAGATTTTTAAATTCAACTTCACCTTTAGTTGGCCAATCTTTAGGTGGCAAATTTGTTGGTACTTCCCATGGTGCTTCCTAGAATAAAAAAAAATATATACACTAATTCAAACAAATATTATTTGTTATATTACTTGAGGTGTTTCTCCATATTCTTTAATACGTTCTACTGCTACAATATTAGTTTCAACTTCAGAAGTCATGCGAACTAACCAATTAAGAGTTTGAGTGATCTTAAATAAAACAAAATTAATATTTTATAAACAAATTTTCTTTTATATATAAAAAATTTAATATAAACCTGTAGAGAATAACTGATCGACAAACCAACAATACCAGGACTTAATGTATCTCTTCCCAATACTGCGAACACCGATGCAAAAAAAATAATTAAGTTTCCAATTGTCTCTAATCTTACTGCTAACCATCTAATATAAATTAAAGTAAATTAATACCATACAACATACATTAATATCAATTAATAATACCTATTAGCCACTGTACTTGGATAGTAACAAGTTTGATTGAAATCAACTTTTTGTTCAGATTGAAGTATAAATTTGGATTCTACACCATAAGCTCGAATTGATGAAGCCCCTGTAACTGTTTCACTGAAATGTGAATAAATTGGTGAACGAGATACAGACTCAAGTCTTTTAAGTTGACGTGAAGTGGCAACATAAAACCTCTAAAAAAAATAAAATTATTTTTAAAATTAAAATGATCAAAAAAAAAAATAAAAATAATAATTACCTGTATAAAATAATATATGATGCCAATAGGAACAATCACGAAAACAAACTCAGGTGTACTGTAACTTATTACAACCAACGTCCCAATGACCTACCAACAAAAACATATATTTAACAATTGTTTTAAATTTTCAAATTCAATTTAATTTCAACATTTAATTCATACCCAAGCATATGCCAAATTATTTTAGTATAGATAGATACAAAAAGCAAAAGTCAAGAATGCAGAAATACATTTATACTTAAGAAATTATTCTTCCTCAAACATTCACATTTATTTCACTTCATAAAATCTTATACCACCATTAGTACATAATATAATTGTTTTGATAGATTTGCTAAACAGACATTTTTATTTATTTAACAAAATAAAATTACTAGAGCATAATTGTAATATAATTTAGGTACTAGAAATCTTAATTTAAATTTGAAACTATTTATTTTAAAATATTTATATAATATAAAAATTCTATATATTTTATATTTTTAACTTAACATGTTAAATTTAATATTAATTATTAAGTAAATACAATTTATTTGAATTAAATGTATCTCAAGTTTAGATTATAAAGTTAAATAGCTCTCAGCATTTTTTTTTTTTAATTATAATATTAAATTGTATAAGTTACAACAAAATCAATATATTATATTATACTAATAAATTATTTAATGAAAGGTAAAATACAAGTAGGAGTCTTATTTAAAACAACATTGCATCTATAAATTAAATTAATTAAGTATAACTTAATTAAGGTAACTTACTTAATAAAATATTAATTTGTAAATATGTATATGTATATCAAATACTTATACATACATTGTAAATTAATGAAATATATAAATTAAATACTAAATTATTTATAAGTATATTTTATTTTTAAGTATTTATTTATTTAATTATATACCTTATTTATAAAATAAATTATCTTTAGGTTACAAAAATTAAACTCATATTTTGATAGCAAGATTATTGCCCAGAATATTGTAAAAAGTAAGTACATAATAGTGTAGTAATTTACAACGAAATGCATTACCCATGAGCAGTTAATATAATAAGGAGATTAAATTAGTTATTAAGAAAAATCAGAGTTTAATAAAGCGAAACAGTCAATAAATATACATAATGAAAAAAAATATAACGTACATCCATAAAACAATAAACTGTATCTGATATCTGTTGAGAAAGATTGTCAATAACTTCTACATCACTTGAGAAACGAGACAATATTCGACCAGTTGGAGTAGCATCAAAAAATCTCATCGGGTTTCGAAAAACATTTCCTGCCATGTAATTATGCAACATGACAGATGCCTTCCATGCGCCCAAACACAAGCATAAATCAGCAAAAAATTCAAATAGCCCTGTAAATATTGAGAATAATCTATGATCTCCTGTGGAACCCAATGACAGCCGTACCAAATTAATTATTGAATAAATATACATATTGAAACATTTAACGTTAAAAAATATTTAAAATGTCTTGTCTTGTGGATCATTTTACAACTATATACAACATAAAATATATATTATTATGTGTTTTATATTATGTTTCTTATTCAAAAGAAGAATAATAATATTAATACACCAATACACAAATTTCTTTATATAGATGTACATACAATGAATAAGAATAATATAGATATAGATACAAATAATTAAAGAATTATGTCTAACTTCTTTTCCTCAAATATTTAGTTAAAATGTTCTACTTTGACAGATTTATGAATAATAAATTGAATATTCTCTATTAATACATAATAATAAATAATACATATAATAAATAATAAATATATAAAGAATATCTAAATAAATATTGATATAAATAATAAAAAAAAAAAAAACAAACAAATTTTTAAGTACGGCAATAACTGGTAGAGGATAATTGTTAATATCCTACAATAAGTAGTTCAATTATTACATAAAATACAACTATTAGTAATGATAATAAAACTAGTTAATGAAATTTATAATAATAAATTAAAAATAATATATCCTATACATTTAATATTTTTAATAAAACTATGTTACTTATTATAAAAATAGTTCAAAACATTAACAAAACAAAATAAATAACAAAACAAATAAGTTCTCTCATAATAGGAAAAGTCAAGGTTAGAGGAACACTCTAATATTATATCTAATAATATTCTTTAAAAATTAGGTTAAAACATGTTTCTATCATGCATAAGCAGTGAAAATTAACAAAACAAATAATAAAAGCTATAAGAGATAAATTATATACAGATAGTAGAGAAGAATTACAAAAAAGTACACTTATAAGCTTCACTTTAATCATATCAACTACATTTTATATCCAATTTAAAAAATATTTTTTCTATTAATTTATATAATAATATAATATTATTTATTTAGTACTCACAAGCATAGTAACATTTTTAGTAATTTAAATTTTTTTTTTTATTTTTTTTTTCCAAGAATAATGCATTTCTGTTGTACCAAAATGAGAGCATTTACTTCATAAATCATACCATGTACTAGTGGAAGAAGTTAATATTATCCTATTCACTTACCATAATCAGACATCTATTCCATGACAGCAATATTGGAGGCAATGTTATATCAATAGTATCAACATCTTTTGCAACTCTATTTAATATTCGCCCCGTAGGCGTAACATTAAAGAAGCTCATTTTTGCGTGCATAATAGTCTTAAGCATGCTGTCATGCAAAATTTGAGAAGCTTTCAGACAACCAACATATAATGTGGTTGTACCAAATACTACTGTTAACACTGCAAAATGATTGGTAAAATATATTAATAGAAGCGAAAGGAAGAATTGAAATCTGAAAACCTTTAATGAAGTAAGTTTATGTAGAAAAAACTTTCTCACACTTGTTACAATTAAAATAAATAATCTCAGTTATCGAGTGCAACACCTTAAGCCAATAGACAAAAAATAAAAATTCAATATTTAAAATATATAATACATATTAAAGATGTATTATATATATTATGCGATAATTATTATATTTATGATTTCATAACTGACTATGTTCAATACTTAAATTCAAATGAAATGTAACACAAAAATTAAATCATCATAAATTATAATCATATAGATTAACATATAGAAAACCATCAACAAATATAACAACTTTATTATTTAATGTATTATTAAAATGTCCCTTACTGTTTTTAATAGTCATATACAAAATCACAAATAAAATAATAGAAAATGTTAATACATTTTTATTATGTAAGCTATAACCATTACGACCCAATAGCTTTCAAGATATAAGTTGTTAGTAGTAGAATTAAGTTGAGTAGCCATATAAATATTATCAATTATACACAAATCATTTAAATTGTTTACAACAATTGCAAAAATATTACTGAATTTGTTGTGTAATCAAATATTTATTAAATGCAATTAAAATACCAAAAAATAGTTCAGTAGTAATTATTATAAAGATTAATTCCCACGTAATGAATGTCACTCAAAAATTTAAATTACACTTACAATGCAGTTAATAATATTTACACGGCAATCTACATAGATATTCCATAAATACTAATATAAAAATCTTGTACACAGCGAACTACAAACATATTGTATGAATACTAAAAATACTACTAATAAAGCTTTTCATAAATTACAATAGTAAAAAAAAGCATCACTATACCAAATTAAGAAGAATGAGAAAGAAATAAAGAGTAAAAATTTTAAAGAGTAAATATTTTATAACTACATTTACAAATAAAAACAAAGCATTAAGTATTAAATTATTTATTTATTAATCAGAACTAAGATTGCATAGTAGTTTTTACTTTTTATAGTTAACTATTTGTTTAGGTTATTGACCTAAGAAAAAAAAAAATAGACATTAAAGTTTTAAGTTTGAGAAGTTTGAGTAAAAGCAATTAAATAGACCAGATATTATTTAAATTATCATAAAACAAAAATTTCAATAAAAGTATTCTTCATAAAATACAATTAAACTTCTTAATAAAGGAATATAACTTTGAACAAACAAATTTTTTAAATGTATAGAACACATATTGAAAAATAAACATGTTTAAAATTTAAATCCGAATAAATAAAGATTATTTGTTGCATATATATATATTTCTTTTTTGAGGATAAAATTAAAAAATCTCTTATTGCCCTATACAATGTATAGGTTTATATTTACTCAAAACATACATACTTAGTTTCAAAGTTAATAATAAAAAATACTATAAAATCTGAATCCTGATTATAAAATATTAATTATGTTATAAAAATTATTTGCACACAAATTAATATAAAAATTCATTTTAATCCGAATTTACCGAAAATACAGTTTGAATAGTTGATCTTATAGTGAATGGCAAAACATTATCAATAGTATCAATGTCCTTAGATACTCTATTCAATATACGACCAATAGGTGTTGTATCAAACAGGCTTAGTGGATTCTTGAATATTCGTTCATTGATCAATTGATATAACTTTTCAGCAGCAACTACTGTGCCTAACGATAAAGCGATTGCTGCTGTCACCGTCGAAAAAACTATACCAAATCAAAAATATTTAAAATAAACTAGAATAATACATGAAATAAGTTATGTTAATACAAAAAATAAATTTGTATTCTTACGAACATCATAAAAGTTATGATTTATAACTAACAAAATAAATAAATACATATAAATTTAAAAAAATTGTTATATCATGTTATTTAATGGTACAAATATGAGTTAATTAATAATACTCATATGTTTATAACGTTAACACAAACCAGTCCAAACATGAATATTATTGTTTCTTTATACCATACCTTAATTTATATAATTCATAACTCTAATAAAATACTATTTTCAAGCAACTTACTTAATCATTTTTACTCAAATAAATTAAGTTACCATTAACTAAATTGGAATTAACCAATAATTTAACATTTAACTAAAAATATAATTTCCTATTAAATTATTTTCTTAATATCCAAAACCATGTGTTAATATAGTTAATATTTTTATTACACAGAAAAAGCTTAACATTTTCAAACTGAAATAATTAGAAAAACAAAGTTGATAAATTAAAATGATTATCAATTGACAATAATTAAAATAGTATCTAAATTCTAAATCAATAGATTTATCTATTGGACACTGTCCAGTGACAGAGTGCAAGGCTATTGAACATATATACTGACCACAGAAACCATTCGGTAATTTAGTAAACCCACTCGAAATACAACTATCAGATAGAAAAGGGTAGTGATGTAAACTATCCAATAATCAAATGTAAAATAAAATAATCTAATGAAAAATGAAAACTTATTTAGTTTAACTAACATACAATTTTGATTAGCTATTAAAACAAAATTAAAATAATATCATTGTATGTATTTATATTTTTATCATCAAAATTATTTCTTATAAATTAAAATTCTATCAAATTATTTTCTATATACTTAAATACTCCTTTGATGACTATACATTTTAAGTTATTTAATATTTACATATACACTCAATTGAATAGTAATCAAAAGTATAATACAATTAATTCACCTTAAAATTCTAATACAAGTTTAAAACAAAAATTAACCATAGAATTTCATATAAAATAAATAATTATCATTATAAGAATATAGAAACTTACCTTGACCAAATCCAAGTAGTCCGTAAACAGATAAATACAAATTTCTTTTACTTATATCTTCTTTTCCATTAATATGAGCACTGTTATCATTAGACCATATTGATAGCCAGATATTAGACGAAATTGAAAATCCTTGGAATATAATACTTAGTACGATTGTAGTTATATACAAAACTGGTCCAATTGACTTCAAATAATGAGCATAAACTTCCCATTTTACCTAAATTCAAAAATTAAGTTATAAAAAAAATATGTCACAATCTGAATATAATCATATTTACATTGCCTGTTTCTGACTTTTCTACTTCAATAAGTTTAGCTTGCTGTTCTATAACAGGTTGAGGAGTGTTTTTTTCAGAATCAATAGATCTTTGTCTAAAATTTAAATTTTATTAAAAATCAATACATACATGATTATAAATACAAAATTTTTTAAATGAAACCTTTGCATTGAAGCATTAGAATTTGATTCACTTCTTTGCCGGACATATTTTTCTTTTAAATCTGCTGGTGCATCTTCTAGTAATTTATCAATTTCTAAAAAAAAAAAAATATTTAATGTACCATTATTGCTCATTAAATATTAAATTTCAACACAATTAGATTATTTTTATTACCAATTTCATCATCTTTATCAATACTTTGGTCTTGCATATGCAGTATCAGGAAATCAGCAAAATCCCCTTTTTTATCAAGTAATTCTTTATATGTGCCAGACTCTGATATTTTCCCATCTTTTAAAACTACAATAAGGTCTACATCTCTAAGATATGTAACACTATGAGTAACCAAAACTCTAGTCTAAAATTATAAAAAAAAAATTCAAGTTTATAAAATTTAATTAATTTGATAAATTATAATTAACTACCTTTTTACGCAATAATCCTGTAGGTCCAATAACTTTTTCAAAAATATGTTTCCCCACATGTGAATCAACAGCACTTAATGGATCATCTAAGAAATATATATCACTTTCTTTGTAAACAGCTCTTGCTAAGCTTACTCTTTGTTTTTGACCTCCACTTAAATTTATGCCCTAAGAAAAATAGTTTATTAATTTTAAAAATTTGTTTTTCAATTTTTTTTAATATTTTTATAATTGATATTTCAAACATACTTTTTCGCCTATTTCAGTTTTATCACCAGCTGGTAGCATTTGGAAGTCAGCTCTCAATGCACATGCATCAATAACTTTATTATAAGCTCTTTCATTTGATGACTGACCAAATAAAATATTATCTTTCAGAGATGAATTTTGAATCCAAGCTTGCTGTGGTACATATGCTATTGATCCCTAAAAAATGATTTATTAATGTTATTCAAAACATACATTTTAACCCACTTACTTTAGTATTAATTCTACCAGAAGTTTTATCCATTTCACCAAGAAAAGCAGACACCAAAGAACTTTTACCAGAACCAACAGTGCCAACTACAGCAACCAACTGTCCAGATGAGATTCGCAAGTTTATGTTTTTTAATGTAGGTTCTTCAGTTGGTTCACCCCATGTGAATGTACCATTTTCAATAACAAGTGGATCCTCTGCAAATCATTATTAAAATTAATCATCAGTTTGTAAATTAACTATAAATATATTATATACTTTCATCGGAATCATGAGTGACAGAATCTGGATCTAATTCTTCAGAATTCATAAATTTATTAATTCTCTTGATAGATACACTAGACTGTAAAATATTAATAATGCATTAAATGATATTTATAAAAATATATAAGTCATAAATAGCATACTTGAACCAAATTTGACACAAACATCGGTAGCATTGATAAGGGGAAACGTAAAATGTTGAATAGAGACAAAGAAACAAATGCAGTTTGTGCATCTAATATATGGGTATCGTCAGATAATACATATACAGCAAAAGTTACCAATGAAACCTAAAAGTAAAAATTACAGCATGATCATAAATAACTATATAAATATATACACACATAATTAATAGAAAATATAAATTTTTAAATATTAATATAAACTAATGGTAATTTGAACTTGTATGTACCAAAAATGGAGCACAAGCCCAAATAAATGAAGTAGCTGCATTTAAGTAAGCTGCAGTACGAAGAACTTTAATTTCTTTTCCTCGGATGTCCAATACTTTTTGTTCAAAACTTGGTTCCCAAGCGTATAATTTTAAGACCTAAAAATATAAACAAATTAATAGTGATCCTATCTAATAAAAATAATATTACTTTAATTCCAGAAAGAATTTCATTCATTAATTTAACTCTTTGATCTTTATTTTTCATTTGTTTGATTTGAAGATTTCTTGCTTTAGCAGCAACAACACCGTTTATTGGTATCAAAACAATCATCACAAATAAACCAGCAAGTACGCTGGGTCCTAATGATTGCCATAAAAAGTAAATTGCAAGAGCAATTTGGAATGGAGCAGACCAAACCATATTCAAATAGGTAGTCAAATCGACAAATCTATGAGCATCAACTGCCATCAAATTCACTATTTCACCCACAGTAAATGTTTTTCTAGCTGTATTTGAAATTCTTAAAGCCTTTTAAATATATAAAATAACATTAGATTATTTTAAATTAAAATGAGTATAAAAATGTATCCAATTGTTAAAAAAATAAACAATATTTTACCTTTCGATAAATAGCAGAGGTAAGTACAGTTCGAATACGCAAACCAACAAGATACATACGATGAAAATACTGCGACAATATCAATGTTTGTAATGTTGCAGTTAACATCATAAGAAAAACATAAAAATAACCTCTCCATAATGGCTCACCTTTATCTCCTACAAATGCTATCATATATCTGCAAATAACATATTTTAAATATTTAACTCATTAATTATTTGTTCTTAAGGCAATTTTAATAAATACTTACTTAAGAACTTGGGGACTGACAAAAACTAAACAATCTTCAATAATTTTTAGAAATGACCCAAATAAAAATGTACGACCAAATGATTTACATAAAGCAGGGAGAATCGATGCTTCTTTATGATTTTTACTATCATGAGTAATTCTTGAATATTCTGTAGGTGATATTTCAATACTTCCATCAGATTTATGTTTAATGTATGATGCTTTTGCAGTATCTAATAACCTATAAAATATTTATTTATAATTTCTGCAAATGTAACAATAAAAAATATACTCTTTATTCATAACAAATATTAATAGTTTTGATGAAATTCAAATTCAAGATCAAATCAAAAACTATGTATTTAACTTTGGAAAAAAATGGTTAGGTATTAATTACAACTTTTCTTCAACAAAAATAGATTTAGTAGGGTCCAACAATTTATCACAAAAATATTAATATAAAATATAAAATTTACTTACTTAGCTTTAATTAAAGAACGTTCCCAATGTTTATCAAAGATAGGGACTATTACTCTTGAACTATCTTCATGATTCATACTCCACAAATCTTTAGTATCTAAAGGATGTTTATAACCAGTCCATGCTAATTCATCAAACCATGAAAATAATAAGCGTGATGGATATGATGCTTTCATTTCAGGACACGGTTTCTAAAAATTGATTTATTGTTTTTAAAGATATAAATCTGGAGATTTACTTAAAATGCTAAATATAACTTACTTCAACAGGAGGATAATTTGATAGCCTAGGTTCAGAATCAGCAAAGAAATTTAAAACAAACTGTATCAAAACAAGAGGGTAGTATACCATGTAACTTATTAATGGATATTTTTCTATTGGTGACTAAATATAAATAAAAATATCATTGTTAATATTCCAAAATAATTTAACAAGTATTAACAATAAAATGTATTACATCTGAATAAGCTTGTCGAAATTCTGTTCGATATTGAACTGCACCAAAAATTGCTAAGAATAACCAAAACAAAAATATTAATCCAGATGATCTTAAACCTCTTGCACGGTTGGCACTAATTAAAACCATTACAAATCCCTAAAAATAAATTTATAGATAAATTATAAATATTTTATAAACCACTAAAACAAACACAACAAAAATAAGTTAATTATTTTCTTTTGGTAGTTTAAAAAACTAAATATAAGAGTCACTATTTTAAACAAAGGTAATATATATATTGAATGAATATTACCAAGGATTTAAATACTTTAAAATGTTTAAAAGAATAAATATATTAAAATCAACTTATTGACATCAATTATCAATATATTAAAAAAATTAAATGAATTTAATAACACTTACAAATGTAATTAGTTTTACTAATGGTGTATAAAAATCCACAGAATATATGGGCATCCCAGAGGAATACTGAACTATTGCATACACAATATCGAGTATTGAAAGAAGACATAATATAGCTGCGCCAGCCTAAATAATAATAAAATCAAATTCATAGTTAATAAATTAGTTTTTATTATTAATCAATATTAATAAGTTATAATATTTAAATATTAAAATAAAAATTAACCTTGTAAAAAAAAAAACAATTATGTATTTATAAACATTGTTAAAATACTTTGACAGTAATCAAAAATAAAACATTTACAAATCCCAAGTAAAAAATATCCTTTTATTATTTAGAGAATACATTTTGATCTACATCAACTAAAATTATAAAGAAATATGATAACAATTCTTTAATATTGAAATTAATAGTAATATTTTAGTTCACATAATAAACTAAATATATTTATTAAAAATACTATTATAATTAATAAAATTATATACCTATACATATTAAATTATATTACGGTAGAACCTCAATTATCCAGGGTAATGAAGTAAATCATAGTCTTTCTCAGAAACTTAGCATTTAACAAATTTCAAATTAATTTATTTATTATAACATTTTAAGTATTCAATTTTTGTATTATGCAATTTGAAATGATTTTTTCTTAATTTACTTCAAATTTTTTTTGAATTTGTGATATCATACATATCAACAGTTCAAAAGGATATCAACTATTTCCATAAATCTAATTATAATATAGACTACACATTGTTTATTAAACTTACTTACATACTTTAACATATGTACAATATACTCTTTACAAATGCCTATACTTTTGTTACATACAAATTTTTAGAAGAATAAGAAAGGTTAATCCCAAAAGATAATCAAGGTTCTACTATATACTAAAATTATTTAATTCAATTCAACCGTATTAATATAATTTATTTGTTTTTAAAAATATTAAAAATACATAGGTACGAGTTACAATATTTATTAATTAATTTTTTCATTTTATAAATATTGAATGAATAAGAAATATTTGATAATAACTAATCTAAATATTTTAAAATATGAATTAAGTGTTATCAAGTTTAAAACATGTAACTAAAAAAAAAATGAATGTATAAATGAAAAATTAAAGTTTTAAAGTGATAAGTTATTTTAGACTGTATGGTAGTAAAATAACCAAGGACAGTAAAAAATTTCCGTTGACCTATTTAATTTATAACCCACAAAAGTATAGTGAAGAACAATAAAATAATACCAAAAAGCACAAAATATTGATAGTATTACATTAAATATTGTTATATTTTTGTATTATAAAAGTTGAAATCTAATTTACAATCATTAATACAATTAAATAATTTTTTAATGAAATAATTTTAGAAGGTACTCAATACATAAAATATAATAATACATACACTAAAATAAATTACTAAGATTTCAAAAATTAAATATTTTTAATTAAATTAAGACAAATAATAACACCTTTTTTTGTTCATATTAATATTATACAATTTTTTTTCAGGAATTTCTCTTTAATTCTTTGCAATAATTTGTTTAAATAGTTATTTATTATACATATATTGTATTTATTATTATTATTATTTACAACTGAGATAATAATTTTGATTCTATACAATTTCTGATAAAATTAGAGTGAATACCTATTATTATCATTATTTAAAGCTATACAGAAAGCATAAAAAAAACACAATTCAACAAATATTAAAAATAAAAAGGTAGGTAATAAAATTAATTAATTGTCTTTTGACTGTTTAAATTATTGAGAAAAGAATCAAATAATGTCAAACTATAATTTTAAGTTTAAAAAAAAATGTCTATTCATAATATACTTAAATATTTTAAATAAAATATCTAGTTAAAGAATTGAGATTTATATATCTTGAATCATTATTCAATAACACGATATTAATAATAAATATTCTCTAATACAAACATTAGGTAATTTACTAAACTTTGATACAGTAATTACAATAAAGAATAAATATGTATAATAATAATACTATAAACAAATGTCTGTATTACATAAATATAAAACACAACACAGCATAAATATTCTAGAATATTTTAACTATTGCAAAAATAAAACTGTAATTTTACAATATCATATGAATAAAACCATTTTTTAATATTATTCATATTTTACTTATACTTTTATTCACCACAAAAATTAAAAATTTATTATACCTAGAATTGAAATTAAAGCATCATGTATTATAAAAAATACCAAAGATCAGTGATTTATCATTCTAATATACCTATGTATAATATTGTTTAAATGCTATTTTCTGTTCTTGATAGATCAATTTAAATTTGAAGCATTTTAATGTATTAAATAAAAATTAAATTAAAAAAGAAGTATTTTTAAAAGCTAAAATAAAACATCCTATATGAGATAAAAAATAATTATAATTACATTACATGGAATAAAATAATTTAATTTTATTATAGAAAATATTTATATTTAATAAATTTTAATAATATTACAATAAAATTACTTATTATCATATAAATAACATTTACAACATATTTGTTAACTAGGAGTCAGCATCTTCATTTGTAGGAAAAAGTCAATTTTTTAAAAAGTTACAAAACCATGATGTCTAAAGAACCGCAGGTTGCCAATCTTTGATGTAAACAATGAAGTAACCAGTATATATTTTAAAGCATTTTTTTTTTATTTACCTATGATTATTGTAAATCACATAATAAATTAAATATTTAATACCATATATAATTGGATACTTAAAAATTATCTTACGGGGAAGATGTTTATTAATTCATTAAACTAAGTAAATATGAAATAAATTAAAATTAAAAACCACAAATAACAATTAATTATTATTTCAAACTACAGTTCAACGGTAATCAAAAATGTAGAATAAAAACCTAAGTAAGCTACATAAATCATATTTATATTTGATGACTGATAGTCTCTTTAAATATTTTTATAGTAGATAAAAATTGCAGGACTTATGGGTTAAAATTTTGACAGTTAAAGTCTATGTAATAAAATTTCATTAATTAACTAAAATCATGTACTATTTACATTGTTATACAGCCTAAGTAAATATTATATATTATTTTTTATTTTAGTACCTACATACAGTCAATAAATACGATTTTACAATAAGCATATTTGATGATTTATATATTATTCACTTGATTGACATGGGGAAGTAATCACCCAGTAGAAAAGATGGGTTAATTATTATAGATCCCCATTAACCTTTTAAACCGATTTTCTAGGATAGATTCGGAGTACAGATTATTGGATTAGAATAGTTAGAAAAGACGGGCATGTAAAAATAACATCAAATAGTTTGATTTTATGTTGATATAATCAAGAAAAATATTTAATTCAGGACTAATTATTGCATAAAGACCTTGATAACAGATAAGCACATTCTTATCTACATAACCTGTACTTCTCTCCAAGTAATTTAATCTTAAATCTATAATCCATTGTTACTAAGAAAAATAGTTAACATACCAGTTTTGATAAATTGAGCCAGTTCCATGGTATGTCCCTGTATTGACTGTGTAACAAATAATATATTTCTAACGGGGAGAATAACCATAGGAATAGGCACGGGGCCCAAATAAGTACAGTCTTTTCAAAACACAGCGTAACATCGGGATCTGTGGTGTTCCACGATAGATTGTTGTCCTGAAAAACAAAAATAATTTGAACGAATTAGTGATGTTAATCCAATCGTAGGATATCCAATAGATTTTATCCCAAGCAAGAGTCGAAAGCGCAAAAGTTATGCCAAGTTGGGAAATATGTGGAATTAATTTTAAACAAAGGTAATGTTAGGTACGTGGCATTTGGTAAACAAATACCGTACGAATATTACTAGACTTCGTACGCAGACCGACATACCCAAAAAGGCGAACCGCAAAACCGTTCAACATCGGCCAACTCCATATAAATACCGAAGTTGATGCGTAACAAGAAACCAACTGATAAAATTCAAAATATGAACGTTACACGAGCGTGATAGAAATATTGTTGATAATGTTCTTGGTGCACGAGCCGGTGGTTCAGATCGTACGGATCGGCGGTAACGTAAGATTTTACAGGGGCAGACGATTGAAACGGTGACGGGAAATGGAATAAAACCGAGTGTACAGAAACGTTTCACGGACGACGGTGACGGGGTGAACGAGGTTAGGGAAAAACGTGCGACGCGAGACGGCTTCAGCAGGTGCGCAACGATTTTACGTAATATCGAGTAAGAACTGTGCCGTTTTGCATAACACACAACAACGGCGTTATTATTAGACGAAATCGGTGCGCCGGACAAAGGACCGGCAACGGGAATTCCGGCGTGTACGCTGTATTGTTATTATTAGTGTTGCATTGCGAAGAACGACGGACGACGGTCGGCGATAACGCGCGGGCACGAACTGAACACAACGGACGATCAGCGGCGGCGGCGAGCAGTCGTCGAACGTGATGTTGCGGCCGACGATGATCGCGTTCCGTTCGCCGGCGATTGCAATGCGTGCGCGCACGTACGGCGTCGGTGCGGGTGCCAGTAGGTTATATTTTATTTAC